CTACTTAGGAGGCTGAGGCAGGAGAATTGCCTGAGCCCAGGAGGCGGAGGTTGTGGTGAGCCGAGATCGCGCCATTGCACTCCAGCCTGGGTAACGAGAGCGAAACTCCGTCTCAAAAAAAAAAAAGAAAAGAAAAGAAACAGACTAATACATGATTATTACACATTGAATGCCTGTATTAAAATATCTCTTGTACCCAATAAATATATGCATTTACTATGTACCCATACACAAACGATAGTGTTGTGTTTTTTAATGGGTTTTGCCTTAGAGTCTAGTTAGTATGATAATGGTATATCCAATCCTGTTCTCTTTTGGTTACCATTTGCATGGAATACCTTTTCCCTTCTGTATTAGGCTTTTCTTGCATTAATATAAAAAAGTACCTGAGCCAGGTGGCGTGGCTCATGCCTGTAATCCCAGCACTTTGGGAGGCCAAGGTGGGCAGATCACTTGAGGTCAGGAGTTTGAGACCAGCCTGGCAACATGATGAAACCTCGTCTCTACTAAAAATACAAAAAATTAGCTGGGTGTGGTAGCGCATGCCTGTGATCCCAGCTACTAGGTAGGCTGAGGCAGGAAAATTGCTTGAACCTGGGAGGCAGAGGTTGCAGTGAGCCGAGATCTCGCCAGTGCACTCCAGCTTGGGCAACAAAAGCGAAACACCATCTCAGAAAATAAAAGCGTGGAGGGTTTAATCTTTTTTTTTTTTTTTTGAGACAGAGTTTCGCTCTTGTTACCCAGGCTGGAGTGCAATGGCGTGATCTCGGCTCACCACAACCTCTGCCTCCTGAGTTCAGGCAATTCTCCTGCCTCAGCCTCCTGAGTAGCTGGGATTACAGGCACGTGCCACCATGCCCAGCTAATTTTTTGTATTTTCAGTAGAGACGGGATTTCACCATGTTGATCAGGATGGTCTCGATCTCTTGACCTCATGATCCACTCGCATCGGCCTTCCAAAGTGCTGGGATTACAGGCTTGAGCCACCGCGCCCGGATTTTTTTTTTCTTTTTTTTTTTTTTTTTAAGACGGAGTTTTTGCTCTTGTTACCCAGGCTGGAGTGCAATGGCGCGATCTCAGCTCACCGCAACCTCCGCCTCCTGGGTTTAGGCAATTCTCCTGCCTCAGCCTCCTGAGTAGCTCGGATTACAGGCATGTGCCACCATGCCCAGCTGCTTTTTTGTATTTTTAGTAGAGACGGGGTTTCACCATATTGACCAGGATGGTCTCGATCTCTTGACCTCGTGATCCACCCGCCTCGGCCTCCCAAAGTGCTCGGATTACAGGCTTGAGCCACCGCGCCCGGCTTTTTTTTTTTTTTTGAGACAAAGTCTCGCTCTGTCGCTCAGGTTGGAGTGTAATTTCCCAGTCTCAGCTCACTTCAACCTCCGCCACCTGAGTTCAAGCGATTCTCCTGCCTCGACCTGAGTAGCTGGGATTACAGGCACCCTACACCATGACTGGTTAATTTTTATTTTTAGTTGAGACAGAGTTTCACCAGTTGGCCAGGCTGGTCTCGGACTCCTGAACTCGTGATCTGCCTGCCTCGGCCTCCCAAAGTGCTGGGATTCCAGGCATGAGCCACCGTGCCTGACTTATGGCCCTTTTAAAAAGGTTTTATTTTATTTTATTTTATTTATTTATTTATTTATTTATTTATTTATTTATTTATTTATTTATTTTTTGGGCCAGGCGCGGTGGCTCAGCCTGTAATCCCAGCACTTTGGGAGGCTGAGGTGGGTGGATCACGAGGTCGAGAGATTGAGACCATCCTGGTCAACATGGTGAAACCCCGTCTCTAGCAAAAATACAAAAAATTAGCTGGGCATGGTGGCGCGTGCCTGTAGTCCCAGCTACTCAGGAGGCTGAGGCAGGAGAATTGCCTGAACTCAGGAGGCAGAGGTTGCGGTGAGCCGAGATCGTGCCATTGCACTCCAGCCTGGGTAACAAGAGCGAAACTCCGTCTCAAAAAAAAAGAAAATATCTTAAGTCCAAAAAGCAAGTGGTTCCTCTTAGTAGCTGTGAATAACTTAACATTAGTATTTTCTATATTGTGTTTACGCCATCACATACACATTTTGGTATTTTGTTGAGTGAGTTTCCAAACCAAAATGTGTCTCAGGCCTCACCCATAGCCATTTACTGTAGATTTCAGAGCTGCTTCTAGGATTTCTTTATAGTTTCTCAGCAGAATCACCATTACTCACGTTTTTTTCCCCCCAATGATAGTATGGATATAAATTATTTTTGTCTGAAAGTTTTTTCTTTTTCTTTTCTTTGTTTGACACAGTCTCACTCTGTCTCCCAGGCTGGAGTGCAGTGGTGCAATCACAGCTCACTGCTGCCTTGATTTCCCCCCTCAAGGGGGAAATCAGTTACCAAGTAACTGATACTACAGGTGCTAAAGTGGGACTACAGGTTTGACCCCTGCTTTCCATTATAGCTTGAACTAGATTTCTAGATTTTCAGGTTTACTTTGGGCTACCCTTAGCTAAGTGGGAAATCCCTCTGTATGGGGGAGAGGGCTGGGCTTTAATTTTATTTTTGGTTTACACGTAGAATAGCTGGAGTCTGACTGTGATTTGATATATGAAGAAATCTGTTATTTGTGTATTTATTTATTTGTTTGTTTATTTAGAGATGGAATCTTGCTCTGTTGCCAGGCTCAGAGACCCATTGGATTGCCTTATGGAATGAGAACAGGTTTATGAATTTGACAATTTATGTAGGTCAGTACCTTAAACTGACTCCAGGTGAATCTTCTGCTGGCGAAAATGAAGGTCTAGGGCTGGGCTGGTGGCACCGTTTTTACAAAAATACAAAAATTAGCTGGGCATGATTGCAGGTACCTGAAGTCCCAGCTACTTGGGAGGCTGAGGCAGGAGAATTGCTTGAACCTGGGAGGCAGAGGTTTCAGTGAGCCGAGATAGCACTATTGCACTCCTGCCTGGGTGACAGAGTGAGACTCTGTCTCAAAAAAATAAATAAATAAAATGAATCTCTGGAAGGAGAGAGGGTTGCCACACAATGCAGAGGGGACAGGAAGGCACGTTGACAGCTTAGAGTTAAATCCTTCAGCGATCCTGTCTCATCACCAGGTTGTGATCAACTTAGGGGTTCGGTTTCAGCAGAGTCTGGCTGCCAGGTTGAGAATCTGTTCAACCTCCTGAATGGGGCATTTCCTGCTGAACTGTGGCTGAAAAACTGCTTCTCTGAGCTAGTTCATGTTTTCCTTTTCTTCTCTTTTGATTCCTTTATAGACTATTGCTGTCATATAATCCCAGTTTTTCCACACATTTAACAATTTTATTCTGTTGTTGCTGTGTTTTAATTTTCTTGGTGAAAATGAGTATCCTGAGAGAGAAGGTGGTGAAGCAGAAAAACAAATTTCCTTTCTTTTCTGTAGTATAAGCAAAACTCCCCTGAATTCTCCCCCTCACCTTTGTGAAACTGTATTCTGCTTTGCAAGTTGTAAGTTTTTAAATTCATGTATTCTTGTTCTCTGTAGCTAATAACAAAAAGTTGCTATCTTTCATCTAAGCAGCACAGCAAAGGTCATAAAACAGGTCTAGTCTGGCTAAATTGCAGCTATCCGAACAGCATAGTAAAGGGAGATAAGCTGTGCTTGCAACCCAAATAGTACCATTTAAACTGTTAGGCCCGTTGCTGGCATAAAGCGACCACCAGGCAGGCTTTGTGTGTGCAAGGAGATCGTTTTAATTTCCGGCTTGAGTGCAAGCGGGCCAAGTCTGAGAAAGGAGTTATGCAAAGGCGGTAGGAAAGCGGACTGGTTATATAGGCTGGAGGAAATGGTTTGTTAACGGTGGTAATCTATTTTAGGGAAGGGGAGGGCGTCATGGGATGCATAGTCACAAGGGTAGGGGTTATCCATTACAAATAGGCATGATCGTAGAGTGAGGGTTATGGGGTTGCAATTAGAGGGGAGAGTGCGGCAAATTACATAGTTACAGGGGAGGGGGTCTTGAGAAACGCAATGTCCAGGGGGAAATTTCGGAAGGCTGAGCAGGAACAATGGTTGCAGGTTGCAGGGGGAGAGCAATTAGTTGAGGCAGGAACAAGTTGTTTCACTTCTCTTTGTGGCCGTCTGGTTACTTCGGACTTTGTGGCTGCTAGGAACCATCCAGAGGCATACGTGCCGGTCACCAAGGCTGTAATGGTCAGGCATGAACTTGGAAGCCTGACGTATGCCACGTAAGTCATATGTAAACTTAATTTGTAAACCTGTCATTTAAAATAAACTCCCTTTTTTCTGCTTCTGCGTTTCATGTATAAAAGTCAAGATTTGTCTTTGTTCAATACTCTTTAAAAAGTAAATCTACTCCAGCCTGGGTAACAAGAGCGAAACTCCGTCTCAAAAAAAAAAAAAAAAAAAGGTAAATCTACTAAGCCGGTGTACATCTTAACAAAATCCTCCTGTTCCACCCATGGGTTTCTCCAGTCTGCTAATTCCCGAAACAACGGGAGAAAGGCTTGGCCTTGCAGCCAGCAGCCTCATTCCACATTCCTGATACCTGGAGGACACCAGAGCCCCCCCTCCTGCTGCAGTGTGGTCTTTTTGGCATTCACTCCCCTCCTGCTCTGAAGCCAGGGGAAGGCTCCACTGGACAGTAAGTCTGGGATTCCCTGCACACAGTTGTGACCCCCCAGTCTTGGAGGAAGAAGCAGGAAGGGGCCGCAGACTACTGGCAGGGAATTCTCCTTAAAGGCAGATACTCCCTGGGAGGGGTCAGGTCCCTGCCGAGGGCGGAACCACCGCCAACCTTCCACCTTCTCCCCAGGTCTGGAACCTGTTTATCCGGTTCCTCTCAGCGCTGGAAGATCACCTCTTCTGTCCCTAAGTGCCCAGGGGGCGGGACCTGGGGCACTATCCAATCACGGTCTCCGTTGGGGTGGTGAGCACCGAGAGATCACTCCTGCTGTCACTCAGGGCCCAGGGGGCGGGATCTTGGTCAGTATCCAATCAGAGCTACCGGGCGGGGTCGTAAGAAGTGTCCATCAGGCGTCTTGGCTGGAAGAGGTTGCGAGGTTTAAAAAGCCCGCCGATTCTCATCACACCCTTTTCTCCGCTCTGTGCTCGGTTGCTCCGGGGCCAGAACTGGTAGCAGGAGGTGGAGGGAGGAACCAGGATACCGCACAAGCTGGGAAATGGTGAGTGTTCAAGGCCAGGGATCCTGAGACGGTACGCCTGGTTGGAACCGGCTGTGGTGGGAACCAGATCTCCGCGCTGTGGTCTCTGTGGTCTGGGACTCGCGTCCCCTGACTCAGCTCGTCCCTCGGTTCCCTCGGCCGCGAGGTGGGGCTGGGCCAGCAGCCTGGACCCCGGGCGTCCTGTCCCCTCCTTTCTCGGCGACTGCGGCCCCTGCCCTGGAGACCTTTCTGGGCAGCTCCTTGCCCGCAGCCCCGCATCTCCCCAGATTGTTTGGGTCCATGAGAGGGTCATTGGAGGAGTCTGCCTCAAGTTCGTGTGGGAGGAGCAGCGGTCTGTGGGGTCTTCAGTTGCTTCTTTGTCTCCAGGAACCTCGGGTTTTTCCTGAGATTTCGAGATACATGTGAAGCAGGGACGCAAATCCGCGACTGTAATCCGCGGCCTAGCTCCTAGGACTGCCGGCAAATCTCTGGATTTCCGGATTTACACAGTGGACCTCCTGTCTTCAGTTGACCACAACAATGTCAACTCTTCATCCCCCAGGCTTTGTTTCAAACACAAGAATTCGCGCCTTTGCACTCCAGCCTGGGCGACTGAAGGAGGAAAAAAAAAAAAAAAAAGCAATTAGGAGGAAAATTCCTTTCCATTTTCATTGATCTAAAATGTAATTTGTTTGGATTTCATATAACTATTGTTAAAACGCGCGCTCTGAATGAAGAGACCCCAAACAGGCTTTGTGTGAACAACATAGCTGTTTATTCACCTGGGTGCATAGGTTTGGGGTGGGCAGTGGAAAGTTATAGAAGTTACAGTTGGCTGTTTTTTGCAGGCTGGGACGGGTCGTAGGATGTGGTATAAGGAGGTTGGTCAAAGTCTGTTACAAAGTCCTGTGGCCTTGTCAGTGGAGGGCGGAATGAGAAACAATAGAGACTATCTTTTTTTTTTTTTTTTTTTTTTTTGAGACGGAGTTTCGCTCTTGTTACCCAGGCTGGAGTGCAATGGCGCGATCTCGGCTTACCGCAACCTCCGCCTCCTGGGTTCAGGCAATTCTCCTGCCTCAGCCTCCTGAGTAGCTGGGATTACAGGCACACGCCACCATGCCCAGCTAGTTTTTTGTATTTTTAGTAGAGACGGGGTTTCACCATGTTGACCAGGATGGTCTCGATCTCCTGACCTTGTGATCCACCCGCCTCGGCCTCCCAAAGTGCTAGGATTACAGGCTTGAGCCACCGCGCCCGGCGAGACTATCTTAAAGTTAGGTAGCCTGGGTGAGGGTTGATAATTTCTTCCTTTTTTTTTTTTTTTTTTTTTGAGACGGAGTTTCGCTCTTGTTACCCAGGCTGGAGTGCAATGGCGCGATCTCGGCTCACCGCAACCTCCGCCTCCTGGGTTCAGGCAATTCTCCTGCCTCAGCCTCCTGAGTAGCTGGGATTACAGGCACGCACCACCATGCCCAGCTAATTTTTTGCATGTTTAGTAGAGACGGGGTTTCACCATGTTGACCAGGATGGTCTCGATTTCTTGACCTCGTGATCCACCCGCCTCGGCCTCCCAAAGTGCTGGGATTACAGGCTTGAGCCACCGCGCCCGGCCAATTTCTTCCTCTTTCTACAATCTTACAGCCATTTCAGGTTTTCTAATTCCGGAAGGCCCTCTAGAGTTTATTATGTGCGGTTCATAGGGGTGCCCTGCCGTCCACGGTGGTCAGACCTTGCATTCCTGTCTTTTTATATTAGTAATGTAAAGAAAAAAGAAATGAAAAGTGGAGGGCAGTGTAATATTAGGAAGGCCGGCACAGAAGGTTGATGGGGCAGTGTTTCTCAGGGTTTCTTCAAGCGGGATTGCGGGTGGCCTGGAAAACTAAAAATGGGAAAGAATTTCGACTGCTGGGAGATCTCGGGGCAAGGGGTGATATTGCGGGGTTGTTAGAAGGACTATTTGTCGTATTGACTGATTAGCTATTGCTTATATACGATTTTTTTTTAGGAATTAAGAGATTAATCGGAAAACATTACAGAGGCTATGGAAGCTGACAATTGAGGTGGTCAGGCCTGCTTTACCTGGTGCCGAGTGCAGTAGTAATTCCTAACTCTACTACTAAGGGGATTAATGGAATGATCCGCTTGTCTTGTTGGGATCACAAGGGGAACAGGACGGCTTTTGTCCCCATTGGCGAACTGAATTTTGGGAGTAAGGAAAACTAGGGTACAAGTGCCTGTGCAGTTGGTAGGAAGGCAGATGTAAGAAGAACCACAGAGGAAAAAAGTCCTTGGCTTCGACATAACTGGAAGTGTAAAGTGAAAAGATGAGAAAGTGTTCTGAGGGTATTGAGGTTTGGACCCAAATGCCGGGGGGAGCCCCCAAGGGCTGCGGCTGTTAAGGGTTATAGCGGGGTTTGGTAGGGTAACCGTGGCGGGGGTAGTAGAGCTTTTGTTTTCACGGTGTATGAGGAAGCATGTGGTATCTGTAAGTAACCACTTTCATTAACAAGTTTGGGTATGTGAGTGAGATTAAGAGTGAAAGATCAGCTGTAATTGCCTGGGGGAAAAGTGTAATTGGGCAACTGAACAAAAGCAGGGCATGTAAAAGTAAATTAGTACAGTGAATTTGAGCACAGTTAAACAGAAAATAATAGAAACGGAGACATTCTGAGGTGTGTTTTAAGTAGCAGGGGTGATTGCATAAAGCTGGAGAAGGCCAGTGGCTGAAAGTAACTGCAAGAGGTGTGAAAGGAAACTACGCTTTGGAGGTTGTGAGAGATATAGAGGGTAAGTGGGGCACATAGCCAGTGATTTTTTTTTTTTTTTTTTTAAGGGAGGTGAAGGGGAAGGGGGCTAGCCTCTGATTTTTAAGGGATTCTAAGAGTATCAGGTCGGCAGCTGCTGCCGAGAACAGGGATGAGAACCACCAGCCCAGGACTGAGGGTAAGTTGCCTGATTAAAATCGTCACAGGCGGTGGGCCTGGCTCCTGTGTAAGAATTCTAATGGCTCGGTCTTTTATTTCTGCTGTGTAGGAAGAGAAGGGTTGAGAGGATTTGGGGAGCACTAAAGTAGGAGGAGTCTCTAAGGTCTTTTTTAGAGAACAGAAGGAAGAATGGGGGAAGGATTTTTGGTCTATGGGGTCAGATAGGTTGCCTTTTATAGGTTTATAAAGTGGTTTGTTTAGGAGGGCAAAACATTGTATCCACAGGCGAAAGTATTGTACACTTAGGAAGGAGAAAAGCTGTTGTCTAGTGGACAGGTTTGGGGTTTGGAAAAATTAACTGGATACGGTTGGCAGGGAGAATGCGTGTATGCTGGCGAAGGATTATAACAGATGGGAAACAAATTTGGGATTTAGAAAAAAAAGTGTTTTTGTGTTCCTAGGAGGTCTGGAAAAAAATTTAGAGAAAAAGAAAAAAGTGTTTTTAAGGTTAAGAATAGTGAGTTAGCCGGGCGCGGTGGCTCAAGCCTGTAATCCCAGCACTTTGGGAGGCCGAGGTGGGTGGATCACGAGGTCAAGAGATCGAGACCATCCCGGTCAACAGGGTGAAACCCCGTCTCTACTAAAGATACAAAAAATTAGCTGGGCATGGTGGCACGTGCCTGTAATCCCAGCTACTCAGGAGGCTGAGGCAGGAGAATTGCCTGAGCCCAGGAGGCGGAGGTTGCGGTGAGCCGAGATCGCGCCATTGCACTCCAGCCTGGGTAACAAGAGCGAAACTCTGTCTCAAAAAAAAAAAAAAAAAAAAAAAAAAAAAGAATAGTGAGTTATGGAAGGGGGTATGGAAGATAAGAAAGTGAATTAAAAGGTCATGTTATTATATAGCCCCATAGCCCCGGGGTCAAAGCTGGTTCCCGGCCCAGTCCTGTCCTGGAGCAGCCTGCCCCCTCTTTCAACATGACAGATGCCACTGTGTCTTTCCCCAAGGAATTCCTGGCAAGTGGAGTGGCCGCAGCCATCTCCAGGACGGTGGTAGCACCTATCGAGCTAGTCAAGCTGCTGCTGCAGGTGCAGCATGCCAGCAAGCTGATCAGCGCAGATAAGCAATACAAGGGCATTATAGACTGCATGGCCCCTATTCCCAAGGAGCAGGGAGTCCTGTCCTTCTGGCGCAGTAACCTGCCAATGTCATCACATACTTCCCCACCCAGGCTCTTAACTTGGACTTCAAAGATAAATACAAGCAGATCTAATTGGGTGGTGTGGACAAGAGGACCCAGTTTTGGCACTACTTTGCAGGGAATCTGGATCAGGTGGTGCTCTGGGGCCACATCCTTGTGTTTTGTGTACCCTCTTGATTTTGCCTGTGCCCATCTAGCAGCAAATGTGGGTAAAGCTGGAGCTGAAAGTGAATTCTGAGGCATCAGCGACTGCCTGGTTAAGATCTACAAATCTGATGGGATTAAGGACCTGTATCAAGACTTTAACATGTCCGTGCGGGGTATTATTTTCCAAGCTGCCTACTTCGTTATCTATGACACTGCAAAGGGAATGCTCCCGGATCCCAACAACACTCACATTGTCATCAGCTGGATGATCGCACAGACTGTCACTGCCATTATGTACTATTTATTTGACACTTCGACACTGCATGATGATGCAGTTGGGGTGCAAAGGAACTGACATCATGTACACAGGCACGCTTGACTGCTGAAGGGAAGATTGCTCGTGATAAAGGAGGCAAAGCTTTTTTCAATGGTGCATGGTCCAATGTTCTCAGAGGCATGGCATGGGTGTTGCTTTTGTGCTTGTCTTGTATGATGAAATCAAGAAGTACACATAAGTTATTTCCTAGGAATTTTCCCCCTGTGAACAGGCATGTTGTATTAGATAACATATCTTGAGCATTCTTGACAGACTCCTAGCTGTCAGTTTATCAGTGGCAATTATTTGCTGGTTCATAATTGGAAGCAGTAATATTCATCTGACCAGTTTTCTCTTAAAGCCATTTCCATGATGATGATGAGACTCAATTATATTCTTTATTTCAGTCACTCCTGATAAATAACGAATTTGAAG